GGATGGGAGGCACTGAGTGTGTCTGTGTTGTGTGTGTGAGAGGGAGAGGAAGCAGGGGGGGGAAGCTGAGATCTTTTGTATATCTGGCAGAATAAAGGAAGTAAATACAAGGGAAGGAAGAGAGAGGGGGAGGGGGGAGGGGGGAGGAGGAGAGCGGAAAGAGGAGGAGACGAGAGAGCTTCGACTTATACGAATGCCATGGACAACGACGAGGTTACAGAGCGGAACCTCCCAAGAAAAGACAAGAAAAGATGATCATGTCGAATTTCCCAGGACGAACAGGAACAGCGGAAAGGGAGGGAGTTCTGGTTGAAAGCAACTCTTTTTTTCGCTGCCAAGACGCCCAGCTGCCGAGCCCTTGGCATGGGCAACGTCAAAAGCGTGTTACGGCCAACAGCATAGCGTGGTTGGAGGGTAGGTTTGGGAGGGGGGGGAGAGGAAGAATAGAAAGAGAGAGGGAGGAAGTTGATGGTGGTAGTGGTTCCAGCGATCGGACGGAGGGGGGAGGGGGGAAGTTCAGCCGGAAGCGGACACAGCGCGGAGAGGAGATAGGATTAGAATAATGACAGGAATCATAGGAAGAGTTAAGAGTCTGAGTTAAGGGGGGAGGGATGAGGGGGAGGAAAAGACTCAGGAGGCGGTGGAGGAGGAGGAGGAGGAAGAGGAAGAGAATAGCAGGAAGAAGCGAGAGTAGTATTCAGGGCTGGCCCAGACTGGGGCCATGGTGATTGATGATTTACCTTCATCCATCACTACGGGTAACTATGTATATGAGTACGTACTCTTGTCTCATATTCGCAATCATCATACAGTTTTAATTGTGGAATCTTTATCTGACAACTTGGAACCGCAGTGGCAGAAGATAATTCCCCTTCATCCTTCCCTCTCTTTTGTCAGGCTCTGTTTCACTTGAACTGCCAAGACGCCAAGGCTCTGCGGGGGGATGCGGTGGCCAGTCAGGCCGAGAGTCATTTGTTCGTGATCCGCATTCGGAGATGGATTGTTGGCCTTGGCGGGATGATAGCCAAGTCACTTAACCTCTTTCCAGCATAGCGTCACCATGGGATGGGGCCAATCGGCCAATGCTACCCTACCTACTTACAGTCCCCGGTCCAGTTTGTAGTATTAGTTACCGCTCACCCTCGCTAAGTCAATGCCGGAGCCCGGGGTCTTTTTTACCTTCCGACCGCCTGCAGCGGCACACCCAGCCCCAACTGGCCAACTGCCGTGATCCAGACCAGGGGAAAAAAAGGGAGGGGTGTGGTCTGAGAGATGCAGGCTGAGATGACATGTAATTGATTGATTTAATGCAGGATAAAAATAATCCTCATTTATTTAGATTAGATTCGCAGTCCATGCGGAGAAAATTCCAGGAAAAGAATCATCCCACTTCAGCATGACGTTCCGGGGGGGGTTCCCCAAGCCTGCCTAGACCCTGCCTGTTCCGTGGGAAGGAACAGACCAACAAACCCTGACTGACCGAGAGACCGAGTCTGACTGATCTGAACTCCCGCCGAGCATTGGCGGGTGCAAAGACACCTCGAGTACGGAGTAGATAAAAGATGAAAGATAAAACCCAAGTGCCAAAGTCGTGGGCGAGTTAGGATCGTTCAACTTTCGCAGCCGGATTGCCGTGTCCAGCTGGTCGATCCGTCAATAAATTAGGTAACGCCGACGCCTGGTGGCGCTTCACCAACTCTTATTTCCTCTCGCGGCGTTTTGTCCTACGTACTTATATTAGGGATTGTTTAGTTCTAGCGCTTGTCGGGATCGTCTTCCAATCTCCTTAAACGCAATCTGGCTTACTGACCTACCTACCTACCTACCTTCCTTCCTACAGAATCGGACTACATAGTGCTCACTTCTCTTACACAGATGGATTGACCTCGAATCTTGAGTGGTTACGATCGATACTCTCTCCGATATCTCCGCCCGAGACGCATCGATTGATTCCGGCTTCAATCGCAACCTTCTCGGACTTAGGGAGGCAGAAAGAAGAAAGGAGTCATGACATGACCTGTCCACTGCCGTCTGGGCTTGTGCGTGTCTTGGACCCTGGGCACTCGTGATAGCGATTTTTCCGAGGAAGACGAGAAAGACCAGAAGGGCGAAAGAAAAAAAAAAAAGAAAGATTCAGAAGAAAAGAGGGGAGTCGCACAGTTTCACTGCTCATCACAGGCTGGGCAAACCAGTCCTGTTGGTCCGCCAGGAGATCCAACCGAGTCTCGGGTCTTGGCCTGCCATGCCCAGAACGTTAGGCTGCAACAACTGTTCTGCTTGGTCAGAAGGTCGATCCGTTCGGTTGTTTGCGTGGCTTCCATGCCGGTCAAGCCTCCTAGGAGAATATGATGATGATGCTCAATAGTGGACTGGACTGTATGGTGCAGTCCGCCGGTGAAACCCATGGCCGCGAACAACAAGGGAGAGAGAGAGAGAGAGGAAGGGGAAAGCTCCGGCACAACTATGACTGTGTTTGTCATACATTGTAAGTTGGGATCCGCCCATAGTCCACGTCTACGGTCTACCCCAGCAGTCCATGCATGTGAAGCTTGCGGGGGTGACGGGTCGTGGTTGTCCTCCCCTTCTCTTCCCCCCTCCCTCCCCCCTTTTTCAGAACGGTCGGATTTTGAACCCTAAAGCATCTTTGTTGTCCTACGGGTTGTTCTGCGGGAGAAGACACCGGGGGTTTACCATCCGTGGTTGAGTGTCGGGCTGAGTAGACATCTCCCGTTGGGATCGCAATTGATTGAGGCTCGTTAGTGCTTATGGCACTCTCAGTGTCGGCCTGAGTCATGGGCACAGTCCTTGGGTGCTCGACCATGACTTTTCCTGACCCCCCGCACGTCCGTATACAGCTCTGATATAATCCGAATCTTACCACCCCTGGCTACTATCGATCACCTGATCATTTCCAGGAGGGAGCTTGCTTCATCACTGACCGCGGAGAGGTCTGACTTGATCTTTTTTTGTTTCTGATAGGTTCATGTACCCTTGCGTCGCCTGGATGTAGTTTCGCTGAAGGCAGTGAACATAGAGTTGATTCTCCATCGTTTCCATGGCTAGGATTCTGAGACAATTCGTCGCAAAACATCGCCTCGAATATATGCGCACAATCGTTGATGGAGTATAGTGTATGGCTTGAAGTACTTCTTCGGTATTCCCCCTTAACCAGCACACGAATCCGTCCTCACCACCGCATCCAATCTGAAGCAGACCAACGGCACACCTCAGCCACCGAAGCAGCTACCAAACCCACAGCTTCATGTTTCCCCTTCCTCATCCCGAGAAATTCATCTCCCCTGCAAGGAGACTGGCTCGCAGGTACCGATACCAAGGACGCACCTCCCCAAACCCGGAACCACCCCTGCATCCGACAGGCCGATGAGGAACGAACCCGATATCGTCTGAGCTCAATCAGGTGCGCAATGCGTGCGCCCACATCGATGACGCAGCTCGCCCCGTCGACTCGACCGGGCCATCCCTTCTTGTTCTTGTTCTTGTCGGGGGATCCGTTATCTGCAGATAGTGTCATCGTTGCTGCTCCGAGCAGGGCACCGATGTCACGGGAGATGTTTTCCGGTCCCACCACTCCAGCTCGAACAGTAGGGATGGGACGATGCGAGAAGTAGGTGAGGATTGAGCCTCGAAAAGGAGCTGTCGTGATTCGGTGGGTGGAGACAAGGATCGTACGATTCTTTAGGGAGTTGGGTTGGGGTGTTGCTGTCTACTGAGTCACTCTGTGACACTGGGTATGGAGGGACGAGCCAGTGGTTGCAAGTGGGTTTGTTGGGGTTAGCTCTGCATGGTTGGAGGTGTACTGTGAGGTGAGTTGGGTATGTTCATGGGAATATGGCAGCTAAGGTCAAGATGTGTGGTTAGGTCGGATTCGTTGATCAGAGGCTTCGGGGGCCGAGAATCCAGCATTGAGCCATGAGTCTTGATGGTCACCAGCAAGAGGGTTATAGCTTGCGGCGTATGTTGCATGGTATGAGCCAGCCATCTCGGAGAGTGCTATGCTTCTGCGTGGTTGCTCGAAGTGCTGGAGCTCCGCTCTGTGGACCTCAGCCTCATCCCAACCTTGTGGGGTTGATCTCAAACCAGTGGGGATAATTGCTGTGTTGGAACATATCATTGAGCTATGGTGCCAAGCCGGTTGGCATTATCAAAGGTGCTGGAGATACTAGCCCCTACTCTACCTCACCACCAAGACACCACCGGCATGCCTGCTTCCGTAGGATCTCAAGCTCCTTCCATGGTCTTCGGAGATAGAGACCTCTAGTACAACACTACATCAGGTAGTCGCGTCTATATACGTTCTTCTCTCCCCTTCGGGCAGTGCTAGCACATACACATCCACGCCATACTCCCTACTTGAAACCTCAGTATACCTTCTCCCACCACAGACATAATAAGATAGTCACAAGACCCACCCCTTGTTGATATCGAATTGTATCTTTCTATGCCGCTATAGAAGTAAAAGGGCCACTTTCTTATCCCCTTGTCAAACAAGACACTTCCAGATATCTCACCACCGCTCCAGGAGATATCCGGGGCTTTGCCCAATCGCCCAAGAGTTCTTTTGTGTAGTGGAAAACAAGACTTCGTCCCCTGTGGGCGTTCCTGAGTCTGGCGACATCACCGCTCATTTTTCATTCTGCTGCTATCCTGGTGAAATAATGCATACCGGTAGTCTCCAAGCTGATAGACGCACTCTGCCCTTGCTATTTCATAGTCCACCAAGAACTCATGTCAGGCATACAAATTCTCAAAACCACAGGTGACGGAATGGTCCACGGTCCCCAGCACACTCACAAGCCGCCTAACCGTGTCAAGGATATGAATCAAAGATTTCGGTCCCAAGCGGAAAGGCCATTCATCATCTCAAGTCTTCCCAGCCTTCGTGTAAAGGTAACAGAGAAAGGGTTCTTTCTAGGGTCGTGCGAGAGAATGGTCTTACATTCTCGGTGTACCAGGCGGAAGTAGCAGGAAACCCAAGCCTCTATTGTAGTCTTGGTGTCGTCTGCAGGTCCTGATTCTGGTACTGTACTCTTCCTTTTGATGGAACTTGTATGGAACCACCAGCCATCTCCCCCCTTTGGTTGAGATTTGGTGACAAACGCTCCGCTAAAATGCCACCTAACCACCGTTCAACCCATAATCCTGCTTCGACGGTCCCACCACAGCCTCAGTACTCCTACTTCAAGGCGCTCACACGCTGCAGACCACGGGCCAATTCCGTGTATAAACAGAGAGGAATAATCCCAGGAATACCAGATTGTCACTCCGAGCGGGACAGCATCTAGCCCAAGTGGAGACGCTGGTCTCTTTGGGTGAGAAACGTCTGCTGGCGAGACCTAGCATGAACCATAGCGAGATCGCATACTCGTGAAGAGGTAGCCAATCTCCAGAATACGAACGTTGAGGATTTGAACTCACCGCTCACCGTAGTCCATCCTGGCCAGGTCGAATACCTGGCTCGGTGAGTCACTCGATGTTAAAAAGTTGAAGGGGGGTTCCAGCGAAGAAGTCCTCTGGGATGGTGGTGCGATATATGAAGTCTGTAGTTTGCTTTCGGGATAAACCCAGATTATCGAGCTGGTGGGATCATGCTCGAGGAGGGGGGGGGAGAACGGAAGGAGCACTGGTAGAACTTGAACCACGACCTATGTCTCTCGAGGATGGGATGCTACCTATTCAAGAATTGCGGTCAAGATGAGCAAAGCAGAGAGGGGAGTTTAGTAGCGATCCAATCCTGATACCAATTCACACATCCGAGAGGACACGCAGCCCGGTTGCAAGTTAGTTAGCAGGTCACACCCATCCTATACCACAAGTATGTAGGTCGTCTAGAGCCAAGTATCCAGACACGGTCTCCAAGCTCAGCTACACCTGTCCAATCCCAGATATACACTACTATCACAGGCAACTTAGGCCAGATCGGAACGGAAACCTGCCTGTGATGTCGAATCCCTGGGAATCTACCACCGTCCTGACAGCAGATTTCTGGAAGTACTCCATCCAACCTCGCGCCCAACAAGAGACAGTCTCACATGGCAGCCAGCCGGGGCCCTGTGCTGCATGTTTCAGCCCCCCGGGCCAGTTCAGCTGGCTGCCTAACGGTGCCTTAACTTCTGTGCATAAATGGGGGGTGTCTCAGTAGCTCCGCAGCATAAGTTAAGTTAGTGCTTGCGCTTAGCTAATATTGTGCATCGCGTTGCTTCGAGTCACATGATGTAACTAGTAGGTAACTTACAGCACAGTACCCGTCCGAAGAGCCAATGACCTTGCAGCTATTGTGCAACCCGTTGGGTTGGCAAAGGATGAGGTGGCGGGCCCGGCCTACTACCTACTCGCTGGAAAGGGACCCTCAAGTCAGCCCGGCCTCAGCTAATTGCCGTACCTACTGAATTGATTTCCCGTCATGAAGGCACTACAGCCCTGCCATGGAACACTGCAATCTCGGAGGCCTACGAAAGTGGATGATAGGCCTGGGGTTTAAATTGTCCCGCCTGCGGCTTACTAGGTAGTAGGCAAACTAAATTGAAGGAAATCCTTCTGAAGTGCACCAGTGGGCTCAGCGGCCCTCCGTCCCTTCCTCGGCAATGGCAGTGGCAGTGGCAGTGGCAGTGGCAATGGCAATGGCAATGCAGCACCGGGTGTTGCTGTTGCTGTGGCTCGAGCCGCAGCGCAGCCTCAGGCCGATCTTGCAATCACCCTACAGATCGAAGACAAGCATTATGATTCTCTAGATAAATAGCTCAGATTGGGTCAACAATGTAAAGCCACGGGAGAATTCAGTCAATACTGGTAGTTATAGCCCACCAGAGCAAAGAATATACTCCAGCAGTTGGGTCAGCATAATCACCAACTCGATCCCACCGAAGCAGACTCGGCTCGGCTACTACTGTGCTGTCCCTCTTTTTTATCTTGATCTTCCTAGAAGGATCAAGATGCCAGACGGCAGAGGCGGGGGGGTCACTGTCATTGTGTGTGTTTGTGGACGGGTGGGTGTGGGTGGCTCCCCTCCCACTCACTCACTCCCCGCCCTTCTCTCGGCCGGCCCCGGTGGGTGTGTGGGTGACGATGAAGCGCGCGACACGTCCACCGTGGGTTTTCCCCCGGAGGGAGGGTGATGAGATGAGATGCTTTCGATCACTAACACTAGCTAGGTAGACTCTCTTTCTCGCTTCCGACTATGGAAACTAGTCATCTGGTTCATCTTGTTGGGGAATGCGATATTAGTTTTCTAAACCCTGCGGCAGTGGGAGAGATGAAGAAATATATAACTATACAAGATCCTGAGCGGGGCGACCTTTTTGTTGGTTTTCTTTTCAGGGGACAGTACCGGACTAGGTACGGAGTACAGCACCGGTAGTTGCTAGTCCCGTAAACAAGGTTACTGAATTATAGGATGGGTTGCATGATGTTGTGTAACGGGGTGATTTTTTCTTATGGGAGATGCCTTCCTCCGGATCGTAGATTCCTCCCCTATCTATGAGATGGAAGAAAGAAACTACCTACCCGGTATACTATCGAGATGGAAGGTTTTTGCTGAATCTGGGGGGTTTTTTCTTGAAAGTAGAAAAGGAAAACATCCTTGCGAAGCCATGCAAAAGAACCCAGACGAAGCTCCCCTCCCGTCTACTCAAATTGAGACATACAGGACCGGTAGTTGGCGGTAGCTGCTGCTTATCTTATTGTTTAGATTCCCAGGGCTGGAAGTACCTGGCTCGGTGGGTTAGCTAGGTTATATTTGCGGAGCATGGTCTGCCTCTCCGCGGGCCCCTTCCTATACAGCAGCACTACTGCTACACAAGGCTGTCGCAATGCAGCGCAACGCACACACGCACGCGTGCAGAACTGGTACTCAGTAACACATTGCACAATTTCTCCTTGGTGCAAGAGATCGTAGCAGAGTCACCAGATCAGCCTGTCAAAGATAGTAGTCACACATGGTGGGGGTTGTTGTACAGTACTCTCCGTACAGACACTCTGACTGTGGGACTGTACACTGCAGGAGCAGGAGTCCCATGCAGGCAGGGAGAGGGATGGGGCCGGGGCAAAGGTGAAAAGAAACTCAAAAACCCTGAACCTGGACTGAAAGACTCATCGTTTATTGTGTTGATGGTTTAGTAGGTACGGTACTACTACCAGGTTATTATTTGTTGACAAGGGGATTTCTGGAGTTGTTGGTTGGCTGGCTGGCTGGTTGGCTGGCCGCCCGCCCGCCCGCGCGGACCGGGGCTGGTACTGGGGCTGTTTTGTGTGTCCCGAGCTCAGTCGTTGCAAGACTGCTGCAGGCATGCACGCACATATGATGGAGGCACTGTAGAGTACACTCCGTACCCGTACATTTGCCCGGGTTGTTCTCCCCAGTAGGCGCCATGCATGAAGTGGTGATAGTTGCATCTGAGAAAAACAGGGATGGGATCGATACTGTAGTAAATTCTTACCGCCGGGTGGGGAGGGACGGTGTGAGAAGGTAATCTGTCATCCCAGCCGGTTCGGTCAAAGGGGGGAGTGGGTGATGTGAAGCCTTCCCACCTACGGAGACTGACATTGGGTATATATAGCCCTGTCGATTGCCATGCCTGACGACCCTGTGTACACACCGCATCTCCTCAGATTATTCAGGTCGCATGGCCTACCGCCAGAGCACAACTCATTTGCTTAGGTATGTGTATCCCTTCCCGAATTGTGCACGGTAAGACAAAATGGAATCCATCTCGAAGAGCAGCCAGCCGGGTCCGTACGAACTCGTGTCTTCTGCAAATGCTACCTTTTTTTTTTTTTTCTGCTGTTCCTCTTGAGTAACCCACATACCGACTCGATCGCCGATGTAATGTGCACACCTGTTCTCGTGTTTGAGATACATTGCTAGGCGGAATCTAACCCGTAGTCAGTAGTATGTGGGGGTTTTTTTTCCTTTCGGGGTGGGCACTGGGGCACGTAGTCTAGGAAGTATGAAGTGTGAAGAATGGAGTGGGTGGGTGGATTCCTCTGACTGGCAGGTTTCCGGACGGTCGGATACTTCCATTCAGGGCTGGAAGAGAGAGGGGAAAAAAAGTCGCGAAGACCGAGTACTACACATCAGGACTAACCAGTGTAGGTAGGAAAGGCCAGGGCACGCACCGTCCCTCCACCACGGGATCAGTGTCTCAACCCAACAGGAACAAGCAGAACCCTCATCTGACATACTGCCGTGCCGGGTTGAATCTGTCGTTTCCATTGGAATTCGATCTGTTTGAGATTCAATGCCATTCAAAGCCACCTAACCACACCGGTTCAGTCGTATTGGCAATGGACACAGTCTCTGGGGCGGATCTATCAGGAATTTGATTAGGTGCGAACTAAACTACTCGAAGGAAAAGTCAAGGTCGATGCTCGGATCCGACAAAAGGGGCCTAACGTAAGAATCACGAAGGGGGCGTTTTCTTGACCTGGCCGAAGGAAACCCCGACCAACCCGTAGGAGTTTAGGGAGAAAACCAGTAGGTACTAGGTAGTTACCGGCTGGCTCCGAGTCTAGGCTGGTATGTCGGGGCCTTGAGGGGAGTTGGGGAGAGACCCCTGCGGTGAGTTGGACCGGCATCTAAAGAAAGTTCTAGGGCATCAACCGCCGTGTCTAGGGCCAAGGATTATTTATTGTCTGTCCAGAAATACGAAAATGCAAGGTGGCATTTTTCTCACTACTCACAAGATGAAAGGGAAGGGTGGTGAGGTCATCAGGGAAGAAGAAAGGGCCAGCCAGATGTTATGTGATGATGAAAAAGGGAAAAGAGGGCAAGAAATGGAAGGGCATTGATCCCAAAAGAGAAAAAAGAGAAAGGGAAGAAAAAAAGAGGGGGAGGAAGGGGGGAAAAGCGCGCGAAGAAGAAAAAAGGATCGGCCCACACCCAGGTGATGTATCAAGATCATCGAGACATCAACAGAAAAGCCGACGGATCAGCATCGGGTAAGGTCCACTCCAAGGAATCCGTTAGGAATCCGTGGCTGTTGCCGGAGGCATCCATTAGTACTGTACACTTTGACTTAGCACAACTTTCTCATGCGTGGGATCTGGGATCTGGGCGGGCGCTTAGGTAAGCCCGTTGCTGCAGTCCGCGGCTGAAAAGCAGCCTCTTAACAGTCCATGACGGAAGGGGTGGGAGGAGGGGAGGAGGGAGGGGGAGGGATGAAAAGAGCAGGAAACCAGAAAATCCATTCTCCTCGCACAGAGTGATGACAATGTTTGTCTGTACCACAAACCACGCAACCTGGTAGAGCGTCCATATTCGCCTCCTGAACCTGACGTCTACTACCCCTCCCATGCAGACAGCTGCAAGTCCACACGGACTGTGCCAATCTGCCAGACGGCTGAGCATAGCCGGCAGTGTGCAGCCAGCCCAAGATTGCCGCACTGACAGTGGCTGGCCCTTCATGTCTGACAGCCGGGAAAGAGAGATGAACTGGTGAAAAATTGAAGTTGAAGGGTGAAGGGGGGCTGATTTAAAGAGGGTTTGACTGTTTGACTTGCTTTTCAGGCTGGGTAGTAGTAGATCGATTATCGTTGTGCCGGAGTACGGAGTACTGAGATTTCGGATCGAGCCATGGAAGAGGGGGATGGAGAAAGCGTGATTGAAGATTGGACTGCAGAGGGTCCTACGCCATATGTACAGTACGAGTAGATTTTACGCAAGTGCATGTATTGTCCGTTAGAGCCCTGAGGCACTGTGGGAGGAGGTCATTGGGGACGGCGGCAGGACGGGCGCGACTGGCAAGTGCAGCATTTGGGTTTTTGCAGGTGGTCCGAGTGCGGAGTACGCCTCATGCCTCATGCCTGACTATCTAGGCTTGCTCGGGAGCTTAGGTTGTTGAGCTTATGCATTTATGGCCATACGCCAGTCATGTAGGTCGGTTGCAGCCCCACTTACGCGGGCAGAAATTATTGGCGTCGTTCCGCTAATAATGCGGTTGATTCATTGGGAAAGAGAATATTACTCGAGTAGGTTTCTCTTTTTTCTTTTTATTTTTTTTTGGGATTTTATCCTTTTGTTTTTCTTTTATAATCTTTTTTTCTCAAAAATGACAAAGTGGCACGGGGAAGTGAGGTCGGGTGGGTCTGGCTGACCATGGTCCACCTGCAGTCTTTCGGCGAGTCACAGCCGGGGGTTCGTGCTAGACTTACCACCCTCCCCATCCCTGAAGGTGCATTTTTGGCTCCGGCGCTTGCATCCTCGTCAAACACTGCCCTGTTTCGGGGCGGTTCGACTCCATACCCACTTATTTTTTCTCCCATTGACTCCGCCCGTCCCCATGCGCGGTCCACCCCCCGTTTCCTTCTGTAGTGTGCACTCTACAGTCAGTCTCTTACAGTCGCACTCATCAAATTCATCGACTTTGCTGATTCTATGCCTGGTCCCATTTTCCCTTTAGATTTTCAGTGGTATATAGGACTATGTACCGTAACTGGTCAGGTCACTATCGCATTCGCCCCCGCCTGCCAACATTTGACACTAAGCCCTTTCCCGCGATGGTGATACAATTCTTACTGTAAAAGTTCACCCCTCATCTAGAGTTGTTCGCTAATTGCGCAACAGCGATTCGCATGGAGGGGGGGATATATATCATCATACTCTTGTTTACGATCATTATAAGAGTACAATGAATGAGGTTATTTCATTGTATGAGCTATAGTTAGGAGTAGCGTGGAGTGTGCTTCTAGCTTTACAGCCTCAGGCATCAATCCGAGTGCTTATTGCACTGAATCAAAGCACCGCTGTCCCGGTATACAAATTTAACCAACAAAAAAAGCAGATAGTAAACTTCCGCATGTATGCTGCTGTACTGCTGTAGCTGCTGTAGCTGCTTCGGCTGCTGCTGCTGCTGCTGGGACGAATGCAACGCCCCCCAGACCCAAACTGAAGTTCGGCGCCCGGAAAATATTAACTGTAAATACCCGCGGACACGACTCCAGATTGTCCCCACCCGCTAGGCCGTTCCTGGAGGTCGAGCTGCCTGTCTTCGGCTTGGCGCCGGACGACCACCATCTCAGCTTTTTCGTGCTTTCCTTGGGTTTCGTTGACTGCTTCAGAGCTGCACAACCACTAGCGTCTCTTGGCGTTTTTCGCTCTCTACCACCAGCCCCTCGACCTTCCCTCTTCCTCTTCCTCTTCCTCTTCCTCTCTCTTCCTCTCTCTTTCTCTTCTCTGTTCCTTTGCCTCTTCTCCTCCTTTTCCCTTTCGCTTTGGCTCGCCCTCCCCCTGCCAATTAAACTCACCTTTGTCACTTCACCCTCCCCCCCCTAATTCCTCAATTCTCTTCTCTCCCTTTTCCGCCTTTTTATCTCACTATCCCTTGCTTGTGTCATTCGGCTTCATCGCCCCCCCCCCTCCCAGTTGTTGTTCAGTTCTGCCGTTCGATCTTTTTTGCTTTGTCGTGTTCCTGTCAACTTTCCTACCGGCGGGTCACTCATCCATCATATACAGATCCCAGCCGCAGTATTGGGCTTGATTGACCGTGCAAGTACTTTAGCGCTTGCATATACGTATATCTTTCGAGCTTGACAGCGCCACGGCCCATTCCGTGTCGTCCCATCGCCTCCTTCCGCCGTCGCGACGTGGATTCGATTTCGCTTTGGCAGTAACCGTCTTGCGTGAATCGTTTCGGGATCCCGTCGCGTTTCGATTCCAGGTGGTTAAGTCTAGTTTGCGCGACCGCCTGTATCTGGATTGTGTGACCTCGCCGTAACACAAGCGCTCGTTGCATCATCGTGTCGCAAAGTGCATGGGAGCATAAAGAGTCAGGATCCGCATCACTCGGTTGTGTCGCGTCTCGGCTTAATCCTGTATCAACATAATGGCCCACACACAGCCATCACCTACGGGGGGTGTGACCCCTCACCATGGCCATCTCGCAGCTCATCCGCAGGTCAATGGTCACCTCCCCTTGCAATCCCAGAGCCAGAAGGGCCCGCCCTTGACTACTGCGCAGAAGATTGCTGCTCTGAATGAACAAGTCTGGCTACAAATCGGTACGTAGATCTATAATGGCATTGATGTTGTAGGGCCACTTGTCTTGGCCGTCGTCTCTGCTGGACCACCGCTAACTATCTGCCTAAAGGAGCGCTCACTGAATTGATGGGCGACCTTGATGGTGCCATGAATGCTTTCGAACAAGCGCTGCGACACAATCAGTGGTCTATCCCTGCGATGAATGCGATCTCTTGTATATTGCGCACAAAGGAGCAGTTTCCCAAGGCGATTGAGTACCTGCAAAACATCCTTAAGCTGGATCCCACCAGTGGCGAAACATGGGGCAGTCTGGGTACGTATAACCTGTTTAGTGTCTGATCTATCGCTGACTTGCGACTCGATTAGGTCATTGTCATCTGATGATGGACAACTTGCAGGAGGCATACACTTCCTATCAACAGGCGCTCTATCACCTCCGTGATCCAAAGGTCGGTAACCGGTTGAATATCGTTGATCATACGAATAGAGATACTGATGAAAGGCAGGAGCCCAAATTGTGGTATGGAATTGGTATTCTCTATGATCGCTATGGCTCCCTAGATCACGCCGAAGAAGCCTTCTCCCAAGTCATGCGCATGGCGCCCGATTTCGAAAAGGCCAACGAAATCTACTTCAGGCTGGGCATAATATACAAGCAGCAGCAGAAGTTCAACCAGAGTCTGGAGGTATGTATCTTGCAGATGGCCTGCCACTGCCGTGGACTTGTTGAATCCTGTATTAATGAGTAATCTTTAGTGCTTCAAATACATTGTGACAGACCCTCCCCGTCCCTTAACGGAAGAGGATATCTGGTTCCAAATTGGCCACGTTCATGAACAGCAGAAAGATGTAAGTTCGGACAACCATACAGCGAATGATTTGCAGCTAATCCAGCCACAGTTCGATGCCGCGCAGCAAGCCTACAGACGGGTCCTCGACCGGGACCCCAATCACGCCAAGGTCCTGCAACAGCTGGGATGGCTCTACCATCAGCAAAGCAACAACTATGCTAGTCAGGAGAAAGCGATCGAATACTTGGAGAAATCCGTCAGCGCAGGTATGCATCGCACATTTCGTCCACTCGCAATTCGACGCTGACGTAACATTCAATAGACAACACCGATGCCCAGAGTTGGTATCTGTTGGGTCGCTGCTACATGTCTCAAGCCAAGTATCCCAAGGCGTATGAAGCTTATCAACAGGCAGTTTACCGCGACGGACGCAACCCGACTTTCTGGTGCTCCATTGGTGTCCTGTATTATCAGATCAACCAGTACCGTGATGCGCTGGATGCTTATTCCCGTGCGATCCGCTTGAACCCATACATTTCGGAAGTGTGGTACGATCTGGGAACTCTGGTAGGTCACAGTCCTTCAGGTGTCATTAGGGCGAACGCTGACCTCGCCGCTAGTATGAGTCATGCAATAACCAGATTGCGGATGCACTTGATGCCTACGGTCGCGCTGCTGACCTGGATCCGACCAATGTTCACATCAAGGCCCGCTTGCAACTCCTCCAGAGCCAGCTGTCAGGGTCCGGCCAAAGCAACGGCCCGGCTCCTCAGCCCCAGGATGTCCACCCACAAGCGTATCAAGCACCCGGTGTTGGAGCACCTCCGGCGCCTCAATGGGGTGCACCAGCCCCCACCGGTGGTCCACCCCCGCAGGCTCCCGCCCCCCCGAGACAGATTGCTGACTGGAACCGTGGCATCAACGAAGTCCAGTCTCAGGTTCAAGCCCAAGCCGCCAACGGATTCGATCACCGCGATGCTCTCCGTGCTCCCAGCTCCCTTCAGCAACCGAGCCCGCGACAGGAGCCAGGTAGAGTGTTTCCCGATGCCGTGCGTCCTCAGCCGGCCGTTCGCTCTCCCAAGACTACTCTGCCCGGCGGCCCTAACGCTTATGGGCCTGGACACACCCTTCCTCAGCTCGCCAACCCTAATGTTCCCGCGTCTGATCGCACTCCTGGTGCCGCTGCTGCTTTCTCTTCGGCAACACGCGGACCATTGCCCCCAGCTCCCGCCGCACCTCCTGCTCCTGGTGCTGCCAATGGTGCACCTACTCCTGGCGGTACTCTGCCTCCTTACCATCGCCCCTTCACTCCACCTACGGAAATCAGGCCCCTTCGTGACGAACGGCCATCCTCGCCTGGCTCCACTTACCCACACCAACAGTACCACCACGGCCCCACCGTGCCACCTAGTGGCACTGGCATTGCAGGTGGCGCACCTCCTCCTGCCTCTGCCATCAGTGCCGCAGAAGCGGCTGCCCGCGAGCGTGAGGATCGTCCTGGCTCTGCTATGAAGCGGGGTAGAGAATGGGACTCTGAACCTGGTCCTGCCAAGAAAATCGCTAGTGAGGAGAGCCGTGCTCGCCTGGACGAACAGATGACTCGCCGCGTCACTCCTCCCAACCGCATGCCTTCCCCTGGAGAGATGCAGCGCCGTAGCTCCTCGGAGGCCCGTCGTGAGGACCAACGCAGAGTCAATGAAAACTATCACCCATCTGAGGCGGCCCATCACCCTCAAACTTTGCCTTCCATCCAGCACATGCCCCCCCACCCGGCCGGCGGCCCTAGTCTCCCTCCCATGTCCGAAACCCCGGCTACGGTTTCCAATGGTCCCCAGTCTGGCCCGCCGTCTGCCACCGTTCCTGTCAAGGAGGAGCCAGCTCGCAGTGAACAAGCCCCGGCCCACGAGCCCGCGGCACGCAAAATGGACGTGGATGAGAACTACGACGATGACGGCGACGATGAGAAGAGAGCTTCTGCCGCTGTTAAGGGAAGCCCCTCCGCTAGTGCCAACAACAGCAGCAATGGCGTCCTGGCCAGTGGGTCCCAGCCCGCCCAAGCGAAAACCGAGTCTACTCCTGCAGTCTAGAGCTCGGTGATGTGATGTCCTTTGCATGCATGCCCCTCCAGGGTGTATTGACTGCTGTAACATGACGCCCAAATCAAGAACCAGTGTTCGCAACGATTAATTCTACTATGAGACGCCTCTCTACCCTCGTTACCCTTCCTTTTCCCCCTTTCCTTGGTTTCGTCTATATATCTTTTCTTCAATCCTCTTTGGCCACTCTGTTCGCCCGCTGTTTTATCACGAGAGCTTGTTTGTATTGTAGTCTTGGCAACTCATGGGACGGTTATTTATGGTTATCGGTTTCTGTATTGAGTGTCTACAATTTTAGCCCTTAAGTAACGCATTCTCCGTTCAAACATACTAGTCATTCTAAAGGGTCCTTGATTGCAGCGGGTGCCAATTGAGGCAAACTCAAAGTCGATTGTATAACAGGAGGATAGTCAGTGTAGAAAGGCCTGTACCACATCACAGCAATACAGCAAGTGGTAAGAAAGAAGCTGAGATTCGAACCGTAAAAGCACAACGTGCCAAGCCTCGCCCTATACATTTCAAGCGTGGAGAACTACTAGTATTGGGGAAGCAATTGGGGCTGGAAAAGAATGCGAGGTGGTATGGATGTCCTAAGCGTGCGACCGTGTGGCCCACTGGAGCATGTTCCGTTGCAAAAGGATTGGGGGAAAGGGGGGGCAAAAGGGAAGATGACACATCTGGGTAGATCATGGCCGAGCACGCAAAGTTTCTTCGGGAGAAAACCCGAAGAGGAAAGAATAGGGGAAGGAGGGGGGGCAAAGGTCCCACCGACTGGAGACACATGGACGAGAATTTGACTGGGATGAGAAAAAGTGGTGTGTGTGTCAGTGAATTCTCCATTCATGTTTGGCGGTGGGAGCGAACTCCGACTGAGTTTGGTTGCCAGAATACTTCTGCCTGAGGCAGGAAGAAGCCGGGCCCGTCCATCGCTTAACCCCATTCGGAAGCCGACGCCAAGAGTTCGCTTAGATCAGCCCACAATTCGTTAAGCGTGCAAAATACGACTTCCGCCAAATTCAGAGATAGACACTCTCACTCACCACTTCGACGACTAACGACAACAGGGTCAAGATGTAAGTCGCCCTCACCGGTGATATATGCACGCTCAATTCGGAAGGAATCAAATCGCTGATGGATTTCTAATTTTCAGGAGTCACCGGAAGTACGAAGCGCCTCGGCACGGTTCGTCAACCTCTTGCTTTTCACCACTCGCTCGACATCGGATTATGAAGTTTTTTGCATGGACTGGGTACTGACACAGGTCGCTACAGGCTCCCTCGCCTACTTGCCTCGCAAGCGCGCCGCCAGACACCGTGGAAAGGTCAAGAGGTCAGTCTTTCGAGGATGGAAAAGTTTTTATGCAATCGCGATTTGGGAGGCAGTATACTGAAAATTTTTTTTCTTTGCGACAGCTTCCCCAAGGATGACCCCAAGAAGCCCGTCCACTTGACCGCCTCCATGGGTTACAAGGCCGGTATGACCACTGTTGTCCGTGACCTCGACCGCCCCGGTGCCAAGATGCACAAGAAGGAGATTGTTGAGGCTGCTACTGTTATCGAGACTCCTCCTGTACGTGAACCGACCCCGACCATCAGGAGGAAGACCATTTTTCCAGGGCCCTGCTGGGGCGACCGCTCCCCCGATTCGAGCCACCACTTACATGTTTCTCATCTCTAGCTTGTCGCTGTCGGTGTTGTCGGTTACATCGAGACTCCCCGTGGTCTCCGCTCTCTCACCACCGTCTGGGCTGAGCACTTGAGCGACGAGGTCAAGCGTCGCTTCTACAAGAACTGGTACAAGAGCAAGAAGAAGGCTTTCACCAAGTACACCAAGAAGCACGCCGAGGAGAGCGGTGCCTCCATCACCCGCGAGCTCGAGCGCGTCAAGAAGTACTGCACTGTCGTCCGTGTCCTCGCCCACACTCAGATCCGCAAGACCCCTCTCAAGCAGAAGAAGGCCCACCTTATGGAGATCCAGGTCAACGGTGGCTCCGTTGCCGACAAGGTTGACTTCGCCCGCAACCTGTTCGAGAAGCCCATTGAGATCGACAGCATCTTCGAGAAGGACGAGATGATCGATGTCATTGCCGTCACCAAGGGTCACGGTTTCCAGGGTGTCACCAGCCGTTGGGGCACCAAGAAGCTTCCCCGTAAGACTCACAAGGGTCTGCGTAAGGTCGCTTGTATCGGTGCCTGGCACCCTAGCCACGTCCAGTGGACTGTTGCCCGTGCCGGTCAGATGGGTTACCACCACCGTACCTCTTGCAACCACAAGGTCTTCCGTGTTGGCAAGGGCTCCGATGAGGGTAACGCCTCCACCGAGTTCGATATCTCCAAGAAGCAGATCACTCCGTAAGTCACCCTGTGTCTTCTGGTTTCCGCTAGCAGCCGCGCTAATCCATCGCCCACAGTCTTGGTGGTTTCGTCCGCTACGGTGAGGTCAAGAACGACTTCCTTCTCCTCAAGGGTTCCGTCCCTGGTGTTAAGAAGCGTGTCATGACCCTCCGTAAGACCCTCTACCCCCAGACCAACCGCCGTGCCACCGAGAAGGTCGAGCTCAAGTGGATCGACACCTCGTCCAAGTTCGGACACGGTGCTTTCCAGACCGCCGAGGAGAAGCGCGCCTTCCTGGGTACCCTCAAGAAGGACCTCGCTACCTCTGCTTAGGGTGTTTAGGGACATTTCGGGATGGAGTAGTGCGAATTATATTTCCTTTCAATAAAAAGCGAATACCTTTCAAGTCTGCTCCCCTGACTGGAAAGTTAGTCGGGCCTTTCCCTCTGGTCTAGTTTACGTAGTCGGACGTCAACATTATGAGAAGTTAATTCATGCCCCAAATTATTGGAATCATGCGTGTTCTGTAGTGTAGAAAATGAGAACTGTAGTATCGATCACTACCCTGGCTGAAAAGGAATCAGCCAGCATATTTGATGCATAGTGCACGGTTGGTTTGTGCGTGAAAAAAAAAGCTTGCCATCCATAGGAACAAGCCTTCCACCCCAAGATCCCGAAACTTGAAACTTGTCTACACCGGACTAGTACCGTACCACATACGCCTCAGTACCTTTTAGAAACCCATTTCGAACTTAGTCTTCATTGCCTTCTCCAAAGTAACCCCCCATCCTTCCTGGGCTAGTCGATCAGATGATGAGCGTCCCTCTACGACGGTGGCCGCCCAGCGGGCGCGGCAATTGCGTCATTGATCGTATCTCGCATTGGGCTTCATCACTTTCTTCTTCTCCCACCTTGCCCACTGTTCACTCCTCTTCTCCCCACCAACAGCCCACTCAACTGTGCATACCATTTCGACCCCGAACCTCTCTATACCATCACCAGTGCATACCTCGATCCGTCCACCGTCCAACAACCACTCTCGTTCTACTATCAAGAAACCCCGCCCGGATCGCCACCCCAACCCCAACAACCACCAAACTCACCACCACCACAACCCGCACCATGTCCTCCGACGACGCCTACATGTCCTTCCTCAACAAAGCCAACGCCGACCTCGACACCGCCCGAAACAACCAACAAACGAGCAGCAGCGGGGGTGGTGCCGCGCGCACCGAAACCATACACACGGGCGTCAGCATCCCCGGCCCACTCACCTCCGTGGACGCATTCTACATCTCCGAAACCGACGAGCCCTTCGAGCCGGTCGCGCTGAAATGGGACGGCGCCCATCGGGGCGTGTGGCCTGATGCTTGTACGTTCGACTCCATCTCTCCCCCCCCCCCCCCCCTCTCTTGCAAGCAAAACCACCAAAAAAGAAGGCCTCAACTAATAATATGACACATCAACAGCAAACTTCTCCAACCTCATCTCCGAAACCGACGACCTCGCCTCCGCCATCGAGACCCTCTCCCCGGCGTCCTTCGACCCCAAGAACCAGTACGCCTCGGCCCTGCGCGCGGTGCGCGCGGCGGCCGCCAGCCAGGCGTCCGGCGTGGAGGAGGCGGACGTCGACGTCAAGGTCTACCGGGTTGAGGTCGGGAGCGCGCGGGTGGAGTATTATGTGGTGGCTTTGCAGGCGGACGGCGGCTTGCTTGTGGGGTTGAGGGCTAAGGCGATTGAGTCTTAAGGTTTTTAAAGGTTGTCGTGTGTGAAGTGAAGGGGGGTGTGAGTTGTGTATATTGTTCTTATGAGGTAATGAAATTGTTGTTCTTTTGGCTTATCCTTAGAGGAAAAGTGGGGGGGGGGTTGGTGTACTGGGGGGATTGATTGGATTGGGCAGTATTTTGTAGCATCTCTAGGGAATATTTAGGCCTCAGTGTAGATGTAGGAAGATTGGTGGGTGTGCTGTTTAGGTATTTGGGTTTTTGAAGGTAGAAAGTGTTAGTATCTATTGAGCTTATATTTATATACCTATGCTGTTGCAGTTGGCGATTTTGGGGTGGGAGCGGTTGATTGGTTTTGTCGAAAAGGAAAAGTTGTGGATGTGTGTATATAGCCCTGTGTTGTGAACTGAGCTTCGGCTGCATATATATGCTCCGGTTGATTTCACAGTGACTGAATCACGGGTGATATCTTGGTGACCAAGTGGTCATCCCCATTAAATAGTGAACACACTGCTCAGATCGTGGTTGTAAGTTGCTAGCCGGGACACACAGGATGCCTTTTTATATATCGCGGGAGTCATGCAGTGAGCAAACACGTATCAGCCCGGATGGAAGAGACATAGTCACTTAGTTCCTGTAATCTCACAAGCACCTTTATGCTAAAACGATCAATAGCCATCTGCCTCAATATATATCTCGAGTTGCCCGTACAAAGATGTGCCTCAGCCTAAGCATACTTTATGAGCGGCTGTAAAACTATCTGTCTAAGCCCGTTGTCGTGAATGTCACTCCAAGGTATCAGACTGAGCACTGACCGATCAGTTATATATATCGTTCTCAGCCGGAAAAGAAAGTTTCTAGACCCTTCCCTGGGTTGTCTTAAAGGGTGTTCTCATGTTCGATTTGGTCATGGCTTAGGTCAATGGTTCGTTAGGTGGGGTAAAAGGCAGAGGATGCGCGGAACGCCCTCCCTCAGGTGATTGACCGATATTCCTGGATCATCAATCAGCCTTTCACCTCATCTGTCATTGTGAGATATGATCTATCCAAGACCTGCGAATTAAGCATCAGGGCTTCGTCATCGCAGGATTGGAACTAGTTGTTGAAACTGTAGATCTTCGATGTGGTAAACTCTGTATTGTTCTGGAAAAGGATGGTCTATTGATCTTGATCCGGTGGTTAGTTAAGGTTTGTTGAAGATGGTCTTAGTCATGGTGCATTGGGCGGGACGAACTGCTGGCCTACACTAACTAGTTACCACTCAGTAGGCACTACGGTAATCTATGCCCAGTGCTGAGCGTGAATGGGGGATGACCGGCCCTATAAGTTGGAGGTGAAGCATGTCAAGCAGTTTCTTGGCCTTGATTTTGGCACACCCTGAACAGTATTGTGAGTTGACTAGCACGATCCACCAGCCACCCGATATCTTTGGGGGAACGACAGAACGACATTTCATCTCAGGGGGAAGCAGGCGAGCAGTGCGCCAATAGGGTTGCCGTTGTCTGTGCGTGATCTCTAGCTGCCTTCTGGATCACAGCTAGAATAGGGGAGGCTAACTGAGTTACGGCCTACAGGGGACTCGGGGGACTACAAGGTTACAGGTTATAGGTTACGGAACCTTGGCCGATGCGGGTGAGAGGACCAAGTATTGAGTATGTGTATGGTAACGAACGAAGTTACTGAGACCAAGGATGTACTGCTCCAGGGGATCGAGATGGGTAGACTCGGTCGCTATTTTATACTCATACAAGTGTATAGACAGGACTAGTTCTCCCCTGACAAGGCAACAATGGTGAATGGGTGAATGGAATGTGGTGGTTGCCGTCGAAGAGTACTGCGTACCGGTAGGAATGCTAGAATTTTGTGGGTGTTGTTTTCTTTCCTGGTGCAGTGTGCACGGTATGATACGGTAAGAAAGATCGACGCTAGTGGGATTTCCCCTACAGTTCCAGTTCCAGACTGCTTACGGAGTACTAGTGGCCGTTCCAACCTGACCCAGCGATACTTAAAACAGACTAGTACCTTAGTTCCGGCCCAAGCGATCTCCAGATTCCATGGATCCAAGGCCGTCATTCCCTACTCGCGCCGGCAACCAGATTCTTTCTCTACATTCACCTCCTTGTTGTTGCTGTTGTCACTTGTTGGTTATCCAAGGTCTGGTCGGTTCAAACACAGGTGCAAGGAAGAAAGAAGGAGTACTGCCTCGTTCAGGTACAGTTCATGCTGCTATTGCTGGCTACGGCTGCTACTGCTGCTGCTGCTGCTGCTGCTGCTTGTCAAACTAGGGCAATGAGGCTGCACGCTAGCCATGCACAAGTGGTTCTCCATCACATGGTTCCTGGCAGCAGAGTCGATCAGATCCAAGTATAACTCTTCGATGCTCGACTCTCATGCAGGCGCCACTGGCTGGGCTCATAGTTACTTTTTCTTGATTCTTTTCTGTTCTTTTCTTTTTTACACAAGCGTCGCAAGCAACCTAACATTTGGCCGATAGGCTCCACTGCAGGGCCCAATGGGTACACAGGGTTCAGGATTGAAGCATTCTTCGGCCAAGAGGGAACTGTTGTCCCTTGATCAGCGGATGCCTGCACTTTCATCATGTTCTGTGTTTGGATCAAACTCTTCCCTCGGGCAGTCAAGTCAATCTGCAGTGTCTGCCTGTATGTACTGTACCTGCAGTGCCAGGATCCCGTAATAGTAGTTGACCATCTATGTAACCATTGTCATTTACCGCATGGAAATAATTTGGGAAACGGAGAAGAAAAAGCGAAACCAGAAAAATAGGCTCTGGAAGTCGGTGCAGCCAGATCCGAATTGACCTTGATCTCTCTGTATCCTTGCTCTTGTCCTCTTCTTACTTTCTTCCTCTTCTTCCTCTTGACTCCATTGCAGTCTTGTACTCATCGCGCTTTTCCCACACCCCCTTTGGGCGACGGGCCGCATTGCTTCCAACCAACCTCCATTCACGCCCTCTCTCCCTGTACCATTCTTTTGAATTTCCCCTCCATCGCTCGCTTCCCTTCTCTTTCTTTCCTTTCCACACTGTCTGCGCGCGACAGTCCTCGCTCAACCATTCTTTAATATCACCCACCTCTAAACTGGGTGAGCCTGCCAATCCTTTTCCAGCGCGCGCGTATCTTAATGTCGGTGCAGCCACTGGGGCCTTGTCTGTGAGCATTGGGTGCACTGTTTCGTCTGGATTGGTTTCAGTCTCTTTTACAATTCATCACGCGTCAACAGTCCCTCTTTACGTCGCCCTTGCCTCGACTACAGTCATTACCGCGTAACCTATCATCAATTCAACCACAGTGGACAACAGTGTCGAGAAGGTTGCTTCGTGATTTATGGAGATCTAGTGTCTGCTGCGAGTGCCGGACCATAACACAAGCGAGGCTGTTCTCCAGTCAACAAGCCTGCAGAGCCCATTCACCCCAAGTCGACCGGATCAGGAAACAACAGACCCGACGGTGGATCAACAGACCAGCGTCAGATCTTGTGCTTGCGGGTGACAGTGAATCAATAGCAACTAAGAACGGCACGGAATTGTTGCTGGGATTGGGACGGAAACGCCATATCGCACCAATATGTCCTTTAAATCTACGGGACGTGGAACTCCTCACATCCGGCTGAACTCAGGACGTCAAGACCCCTTCGCCGACTCCGATGATCCCTATGCGTCGGTGCCACACCCGCATATTGGACGGGCGCTGACGCCAGGGATGGTACAGTCGCCCTCGGATGGCACGTTGCAAACGACGATGTGGGGGTCGCCGACTCCGCAGGAGTCGACCGAGTTCCTGATCCCGCCGCGGCCGTACCGCGGCCACCGGGAGGAGATGGATAGCATGCGGTCGACGGAGCTGTCGACCCGGTCGTCGCGGCGCACGAGCTGGAGCTCCGAGGGTGCCGTCAGCGCGGACACCCGCGGGTATGTGTATACCCCGTTCGAAGATCTACGGTCCCCGTCACGCGCAGGAAGCGATGAGGTGGATGTGAACACGCAGACGGTGTCGGAGAAGTACAACATCATGCCCATGGAGGGACTGCTGCTTTTCCCCGAGGATGTCGAAAAGGATGACTACCTGCACGAACCGAACCCCAACGACGATCAAGAGTGCGACATATGGAACAGGCGCGGGATTGCAAATGTTGGGGGTTTGATCCTGATCACTATAGGCTTCTTGGTGTTGTTTATCGGCTACCCTGTCATGTATGGATGCAATCTAGTTTGATCGGGGGAGGGAGAACGGGGTTGCGGGGGGGGGGAAGACAACCCCCCCCTTCCTCTTCTCCCTCCCCGGATCTTTTTGTTTTGTTTTGTACGGAGAATGAATGCTGATTACCTTTTCTTCTTTCCAGGTCGGCGGTAGAGAGCTTCAGAAAACCGTCAAGACCATCATGTCACGAAACTGATCCCTTGTGTCTCGATGTCGGCCAGCAGCCCATGCTGGCCAATATTCGGACCGGCTTGATAGACCCGGAAACGCCAAAGTCAGCCATGAGCAAGACAACGGCGGATGGCAAGGAATGGCAGTTAGTGGTAAGGATGCCGCTTGCTTCCCAAAAGGGGATGGAATCAGCCAGCATACCGCGGGCTTGGTCTTTGGAATTGTGGCTGATTTTTCGCAATGCAGTTTTCGGATGAATTCAACACTCCGGGCCGAACATTCTACGATGATGATGATGCCTACTTTCAAGCAGTTGACCTGTGGTATGGTGTCACGCAGGACTTGGAGGTACGCTTTTGTTTGTCTGCCGTGGAACCTCATCGTGGTAACTAACGTCGCGCACAGTGGTATGACCCGGATGCAGTAACGACACGAGATGGAAACCTTGAGATTCGGTTTGACGCTTTCGCCAATCACAATGTCTCCTATCGGTCGGGTATGATGCAAAGCTGGAACAAGTTGTGCTTCTCCGGTGGTCGCTTAGAGGCGAGTATCTCACTTCCCGGCTCCGGTGATGTATCTGGTTTCTGGCCAGGCTTTTGGGCCATGGGTAATCTAGGCCGACCTGGTTATGCTGCCACAACTGAAGGCATGTGGCCGTATAGCTACCACGACGAATGCGACGCCGGCATCACCCCCAACCAAAGCTCCACGGACGGTATCAACTTCCTCCCGGGGATGCGCCTCCCTGCATGCACGTGCGCTGGCGCGGATCATCCTTCCCCAGGGAAATCGCGTGGCGCACCTGAGATTGACGTGCTCGAAGCTAATGTCATTGCCTTGAATGGTGATCAGAACGCTTATATCGGCTCCGTGTCGCAGAGTCTGCAGATGGCGCCGTTCGATATTTGGTATATGCCTGATTATGGTGAGTTCGCTCCGTGTTCTTCTCCCTATCTCTCTGACCGGGTCGCAGATTTCACCGCTGTCTATGATCCGAGTATTACAGAGATCAACTCTTACCGCGGAGGCCCGTATCAGCAGGCTATGTCGGGCCTCACCAACCTCAACAACAACTGGTACAACGGCTCGGAATACCAGGTTTACGCCTTTGAATACACCCCCGGTGCTACAGGCGACATCACCTGGTTTGTCGGCCAGGACAAGACCTGGACTCTGGATGCTCGCGCCATTGGACCTAATGGAAACGTCGGCCAAAGACTGATCCCCGTTGAGCCGTTGTCGATCGTCATGAACCTGGGCATGGCCTGGAATTTTGCCCCGATCAACGAGAGCATCAAGAGCTACCTGCCTGGGTACATGCGATTCGACTATATTCGGATATACCAGGACCCCGAGCACACCAGCGTCACCTGTGATCCACCGGGCTACGAGACCACGGACTACATTGCCAGACATCCGGAGGCTTACCATAATGTAAACAAAACTACTTGGTATGATTTCCCACCTTCATTCAGTTATTTTTCATGTATACTGACATCTCTCAGGGACGGCGCTGGTTATGAATGGCCCCAAAACACCTTGATGCATGGGTGTTAGACGGTTTTCTCTCACTCGCCACGAACTTTCAGAGTGAAATGATCAACTACCAGCCCTCACAAAGCCCGCCGTGTCGACCTGGCTGGCCATTTGGCCACGCGGACGAAAAGGTTCAGATATCAGCGGCACTTCGATGAGGGCGTCATTAGTCATTTTTTAGCGGCATTGTTTTTTTATGGCGTTCAGAGGAGAGACGCGTGTGTCTGTGCGGTATAGGCTCTGGGTGGGCCGTTGCACCTTTATTCTATTTGCATCTTTCTTCTTAGAGATACTTCCGATGTACTTTTCTCCTTTCTTTCGATTTCACCCCCTCTCGCAGTTGATTTTTCCCTGATTCACATTTTCTGTCATCTAATCAATCTCGCATGCTGGCATACTTCTGCTGATTGATTTTCGGCCTTGCTTTTCTTGGTTTGTGTGAGTATGGATATGACTTTTCATTATTTTTGGGGTCTCATTCGAGGTGGAGATGGATAGACTCAATGGGACGGATGTTGAGAGCTGATGAGTGCCAGCCGCAAGGCAAATACCTTTTTTTTAAAGACCATAGCATAGTTCGAATTAGACTACTACTACTGAGGAGTTACCGGATATGGTTGTCTGCGAGAGTTGATGGATTTTCCCTTTTCACGTGAGGTGTGAATCCAAGAAGGTCAGAATATAGGTTCTCTCAATGGGTGTTAGGGAACCTTTTTTCAGCACTGATGTATGCTACAGATATAACTTCCCCTTCAACAACAGAGTCCACGAGGGTCTTCTTCGCCCTCGAGCCAAGTACTCTCCCAGCCAGCACTACCGATAAGGATGCCAGTCGGGTCGGGAGCTGAACTTTTTGAATGAATGTTTGAATCATAATCCCAGCAGCACGACTAGTACTCGGGGAAATGCAGCAGGATTCTCTCCTTGGGCGCAGCTCAGGGATCCATTGCCTGAAAATCCGATGCTTCACTCAAGTCACACCAGCCCCTTCACGAACACAACAGGGATACCATTTTCCCACCACAGATCAACGATGGCAACCGGGACAAGTTCCGTATTGGGGACATTTGGGAATGGATGGCTTTAGCACAGCTGGCTTTTTCTTCACCAGAACATTTTGTTCATTTTCATGGACCAGAAGCACATAGTATATAATTGAGAGAACGATGAATGGATTAATTTGGAACCAATCTTTCGAATACTACTACTTGAGTCCGTGCAGCTTATTCTCGGATATAGTTGTTCGGTAAACAAGCCGAGCCTAAAAGGCGGTCGGTCGATGACGTTGGATTTGCACAGGTACAGTACAATACTCCGTACAGTACAGTGCAAACAGGGACAACAAAACTGCATCATCTCCGCCGTCCGCCCCCCACATTCAAACCACTGCCTGCCCTCCCGACTCCGACTCGTCCATCCCAACCGATCATCCTGCTGGTCAGGTTCGACCCTATACGTCTGTCGCCTCGCTGTACTGCTACCCCACCTTATATCGCATACCCGACGCCCGCAGTTAGTGTTTGCTGAGTGCTTGTACTCGTCCCAGAGAACCGGCAAAAGGACCTCACGCGCTCTCTCGTATATTCTGTATCTGACGCAAAGCCGACTTCACACGTCCCACCCAATCACGAATCCGGCCACTCGATAGTGAACACCCCCGGCGCCTGAAGAGCGCATTCCATCGCAAGACTTGCCCCCGCAGAGGCAGCGATACACAACTCCCTCATCGTGAACTGTTTCTCGACAACATCCTCCGAAGAAGCGAGAGCTAACGTTACTGGTTGCAACATGTTCCACCCCAACATCCACGGCGTGCCTTCAGGTCACAGCCACGGCCACGACCACGACGACCCCATCATCCTCGACGACAACGACCAAGAGGATCAGCCGTACAACTCCGACACCGATACCTCCACCTCCGACTCCATCGGCAGCCGTCCGCACCGCCTGCCGGCGCATGTATTAGCGCAGCAGCAGCTATCCCAGCTACAATGGACGCAGAACAGTACGTCTCTCGTCCCTTTCTGTTTTTTACACTGACACACACCTACTAAACGACCCGAATCAAAACAGGACCAACAATAAACCCCCTGCACCAATTCCCCACCACAAATGGCACCACACTAGGCGACTCGACCACAACCACAGTCACAGAAACCACCACCACCACCAACCATTCCAATCCAACCACAACCCCCTCAAGCAACCAACCCACAACCACAAGCACAACCAACACACACTACCAAACCTCCCTCGAACAAGACAAAAAGCTCCGCAGCCGCATCCGCGAAGAGCGCCACGCCGCCCTCTGCGTCCTCCTGGACCGCGAACTCCTCACCGTCCAGGCCCTCGCCGCCCAAGAGGTAGTCCCCCTCCCCCTCCCCCTTCCCACATCCCATCTTGAACCCCTACCGTTCCCTGGCTGAGGCTGACCAACTACAAGTCCATCCCCCAAACCCGCCGCCGCTTCCTCGCCAAACTCCTCAGCCCCGAGGACCCCGAAACCGCCGCCAGCCTGCAAGGCGACCGCTTCGTGATCCAGCATCCGATGCGGTTGGGATCGGGATCCGCATCGAGATCCGGGACCGCGTCACCAGCGGCTACTACTGCTACTGCTGCTGCGGCGGCGGCGGCGGCATCACCTGCCACTCCGTCCGGGGTAGACTACGAGGAAGACGACAGGCGGTTCCGGATCGGGGTCGGAATCGGCGGGCCCATCACGACGACGGGGTTGATTGTTCCGCGGCAGGTCGAGGAGGTGTATGAGACGGACGAGGCCGGGTGGAGGCGGCCGCCGCCGGGGGGAGTGGAGCGGTTTGGCGGTGGTGGGAGTGGAACGAATCGCGGGTCCCCTGCGGCGGCCGGGGCGGGGTCCTCCGCGGTGTCGTCGCCGTCCGGGAGGACGAAAGGGGGTACAGGGACGACGAGTGATAGTAGTAGTATGGCGGCTACGGCGGGGTCGACGCCCGAGAGGCAGCGGAGGGGCATCAAGGGGCGGTCGCAGCGGGAGAGGGAGCGGGAGAGAGGGCGCGCGCGGAGGGGTTTAGTTGGTGGTGGTGCCGGTGCGGCGGCCTCGATCTTTGGATCTTCCCTTACATGAGATCGTCACTCCCCAGGGATGGGATTCTCTCCTGCTAAGGTACTGTCAACTGAACACTAGTACTCAGTTATACTGCGACATGAAGTGCTTTACCATAATCACCACTTCCCCAGGGTCACAGAGCCCGAAGCCCAACACCCAAGACAAGTCTCAAGGAAAAGACGCATGTCGAAAGATCTCCTTATCCAATTCGCCCCCAAGGACAGTACCAGTAAGAAAGTGCCTCATATACATTGGCTGGCCGTTAAAACAAAACCCGTACCCCGTGATTTCCATCAATCCATAAAAAGTACTATACACGCGATGTGAACACAGAATATAAGCAGAATCAAGCCCAGAGCTAAACAAGACAAACACAAAAAAAAGATAGTGGTGGTGGCTGACACCATCATCTAAAGTATACCCACAATCCGGCTACTTTCCAAACATGGCAAGGGGGGGTATCTAAGTAGATCAAAACCGTTTCTTCTTTTCCCTTGACGGCGTGATAAGTGCAACCCTTCATCTCTTTGCGGGTTGGCATAAGATATCTCAATATCCAATTGCGATTCTTTTTTTTTTTTTGGTTCCTTTCCGCTTTTCATCTCAATCATTCTTTTGGCTGTGTATGGCCTTTCCAATTCAAGCAATGCCAACAGTCCGCTCAGTAGCAGACTGTGAGTCCAAAATCATGGTGTCTGGTTCCCGCGCAGCGAACACGGCTGAATAAAAGGATCCATCGTAAGGAGTTCATGTGGTAGACAAGAAGTCGCTTATCTGCGCTTTTCAGCGTTCAGCAGACTCGCCGCATCGCCTACTTGCTTTCGCTCGGAGACTTCCCGCGTGCGCATGCGGGCACGGGCACGTTCGATGTTCATAGGCGTCAATCCTTGGGATGGTGATGGTGATGGATCCGGTTCCGAGTAGAAAGGATGCAGTCTGTGGGAAGTAGAGAACCGGACACGACCATCCCTCATGACTGGTAATTGTCATTGCAGGGGTTCCGAGCTCGAGGAGAGTCGATTCAGGTGGAGGTAGACATCCGTCCCGTATCTGCGTGAGAGGTGTCAGTCATCGTGCTTCTTGTATTTCCTGCCAGGAAGGCTCGCTACTCACCCCTCCATGCTGATCAACTTCAGATCACCGCCAAAGTACCGAGCATACAAACGACTGATCGGAAGACCGTAGCCAAACCCGGCCATGGGAGCCTTGAAGTCGCTCTTGTCGAAATCCGGGTCCAGACTTGGGGTTTGCTCCACGGTAGTGTACATATACGTCCAAACCAGGGGAATGGCAGACCGAGGAATGCCACCACCTTCGTCGGAAATCTTGATTGTGATATCTTCCTTTCCTTCCGCGATGATGACCTTGGTGACGGGGAAGTTGTCCTTGTCCACACCATTGGCCTCCACCACCGCACGCAAGGAGTTCTTCAGGGTCTCGAAGAGCATGTGGGACAGATGTCCTGGCACATACATAAAGTTCAGGTCCTCTTTGCACACAAGCTGCACCTTGGGGGCGTCGAACAATCCGTAATAATCCTGGCAGACGAAACGGGCGTTTTCGATCGCCTCGAGGGCTATCTCCCGCACATTTGTCTTGGTACAGATTATTCCGACGTAGTGTGGATGTTTTACGTGAGTCTGTTCAGTCAATGCGATATGCTGCCCAATCAACATTCGTATGCCGATCCTTGACATATAAAAGCGATCGAGGAAGGATTGAACCGTCGAGTCGATTTGCAGGCGCTGACGCTTCCGTTTCCACTCGAGAATACCCTGGGCCACAGTAGTCACGACGCTGTCGTGTCTTCGCTTGATTTCCTTGAGTGTCTGTGAAAATCGCTCGTTGTAGTCGTTCAGCTCCGGTGGCCAATTTCCTTGATCGTCGGATGGTGCATAATATCTTCGAGAGGCCGCAGCCTTGCCATTTCCATTGCCGTTTGACGTAGAGGACGGGGAGGATCGATACTGTCCTTCGCGAATGCTGGGGTTCTGTGTGACTTCCGAGAGGATCCTCGAGGTCCCGCCGTTAAGCTTTCCCGGGCGCAGCAGGCGGGATTTGACTTCCTGGGTGAGGGTGGGTCGCGGCAGCGTAATGATTTCCTGCCGGGGACGTCAGCGACAACTCCGGCGGACATAACCCCGGGCGGGCGGTGGGTGAGTCATACCTCGAACGATTGTGCGTACCAATCTTGGACTTTTTTGATCGAGGGCATTTCACTGAGTCCATCGGGAAGTTCTCCAAGATCCTGGACACGATGGGCGAGACGAATGGGTAGTTCTTCTGAGAGGAATTGTGACGCTCGGAACAAAGTGCCTGTATGCGGGTAGCGATCACGAGATTAGCCGATGTCGGTCATCTCCCCAGCGTCATGTGAATGAAGAAGTATCTCAGGATGCGCAAGCATATCAACACATACCAACTGATGGTCTGTCTCCAAATTGAACCATTTGTCGGAGAGAGACGCCGGTCGCTGGGAAGCTGGCATAGTGTCTGATGGTGTCCATCAGTCTCTCCGACGGCTTCCACATGATGTTGAGGGTATCAGGCCGGACGGCCTGGAATTGCGCTGGTCAAAATCAATGTGATGAGGATCAAACTCTCGCAAGTCAACAGCTAGGCAGGCGAAATGGATGTCAGTAAAATCAAAGTTGGGACGAATGCAGAAGGCTGTAAGGAGAACTACCGAGGTTGGGGTAGTCCCCTCCGTCTCGCAGGCGAGCTCCGGAACGGCGGGCGGTAAGAGGCCCCGGAGTGGGATCTCAGGGTGGGAAGGTGACTCGGGATTGACGGACACAAGAACCCAATGGGAAAAAAACTGAAACTTTTTTGAAGATATAGATGATTATAGGTGAGCACACGAGCAGCTGGGGAAAGGGGGAAGAAGGAAAGAGAAGAAGAGGAAAGATGGAGGGAGGGGAAAAGAGAGAGGAAGAGAGAGTGGGAAAGGAAAGATGCGGGCAGAGGGAAGTAAGCTCTGGACGCGGACTGGGCTGGACAACCAGCAGCAGCAGCAGCGAATGACTCCTTCGGGGAAAGTTGTTCCAAGTTGCGGAGACTCTCTGCGATTCCCGGGGGAAGACGGTCACGTGCCATGGTGGGGGAAAAGACCGCTTCCGATCCCGTGATGGGCCGAGGAAGCAGTTTGTCCTGTCCTGACTAAGTTCCTCGCAGGCAATAATCAGCCGATCCGTACAGCAAGTATTGGAGTACTCCGTCCGTACTCTCACTACTCAGTGAGTGAGTGAACGCACTTTACACTTTACACTTTACACTCGACTTGTTCCTATGCGCTGACTACTTCTCATTCAGGTAAGCTGCTCATGATCAGACCATGTCTGTCACTCCAGCTACCAAGCTAGCTGCTTTTTATTGACTTTGCTTTCCTCACCACACCACAATCATTCACCGCCAAGACCTGCCACTGAGCACGGAGGAATTACCGGTGCAAATGAGCTGCACGTTACAACGTCCCGGATCTCCCCTTCGCCCGAGGATGGTTCGACGCGGCACGACGCAGATACTCCGACTGGTCAGCCGCCTGACTCTCGGGGTAAGACTTGTGCACTTTGAATTGTCCACCCGAATGTCTCTTCGAAGCACTTCATCCCAATCCGCGTCCCTGGTCACTGGTTCTCCTCCGTCACACTCCGTCGAGGTACCTGATTAGGTTTCTTGCGTCCGGGGTTGTCGTGCTTGCTACCCGCGGTTCTTTAAGGTTCAAGACAAGCTTGTGTACATCTCGTGTCTCCCCGGATTCTAAGTACGAAAATGTCACCACTACCGGCCGGTTTCACATTTACCCCCTTCCCCCCCTCCCCCCTTGTCGCCTCCCAACTCACCGCTCAGTGACTCACATGCTCCCGATACAAATAGCAACCATCTAGAATCCCGGTCGAACATTTGCCGTGGACTGAAGCATCCCGCTCGATCTGGAACCCCTAAGGAAGGGAACGACGGTTGCTTGACCGTAGTCTCGCGTATCCTCCACAGCTGTAAATCGCTACCGATAAAAATGTCAATGGTCTGTATATTCGGCACTGGATTCGCTATGCTTGGTGATCAGCGCGATGAGGTTTCACCGATAACTCGTCACGCGAGGACAGACAAATTCGTCCTTCCCTCGGATGGTCGAGATGAAACGGGAAGAAAAAGCAATGAGAAACAAGCGAGAGATTTATTTAAACAACGGCCGCGGCAACGGTGATCACCGTGGACAGCTTTTCCTCTCTACTTAGTGCTCAGGACACCCACTGGGCCCAATTACACTTAGCCTTGGTCTTATTAATGATGATAGGACCAGCATTTGAGGTAGTGTAGGTAGGTATACCACGACATGACCGTCTGTCGCATAGGGCTGGAGAGAAAAAGAAAAGAAAAAGGATTGAAGCGATGCCCAACCACACCTCTCATGCTCCATTCAGGCTGGGTCTTGTTCATCATATCGTCGTCATGCTCGACGACGCTTGCAGTGATGCCTTAGATCCGTCAAACAAAAGTCCCTGTACCGAGCAGGGCCACGAAAGGGAACCCTGCGATCTCTTGATCCTCGCCCACCACCCCTTAGCATGGGTCTGACAAGGACCGACTCTAGACCTTGTCACTCCCCGAACGACATCATATAACTACAGCTGAACGTCGAGAGAGACTGTGATTCTTCGTCTTTCGTCCCTCTGAAACTTATTCTTGATAGTGGAGTCTCGTTAGGTCTCGTTAACTTTTTGACACCTGTCTGGCCCACCAACCAGAATACCAATTGTCCGTTGAAAGTATTCCGCCAGATCATTTAAGTGGCTGTCACCGCACCGTGCGGTGGACTGACTGTTCGGTCCCTCGAACAAAAAAAGGAGCACCAAAAGCAGCCCTCTCCTTTAACTTCTTAATCTCTACCTGGCCTCGACATCCGATTTTGTCGCAAAACTTCTCGCGACTGTCTGAAGCTCTACTGCTTTAACAGATCTGCCTACCCCCAGAGCACTTCGCTCATCCGGCTGATTGTACTATTTATACAAGGTAAGTGAGAGGCTCCTTTTGATATGCCGGATCAATTTCTTACTCCGAGGCGCCCGTTTATTTGTGTGTGGGTGGATTGGATTTATTATTATTCACCGTTATTATAAGTTAGCCCGTTTTGTGGACGCGGACGGATCGAGAGACCCATCGACCAGTTCGTTGACTTGCAGAGGATCTTTTCCTAGACTGTTTTCCCTTTCATTTTCCACTTTAGTTCTTCATTTCATATTTTGACGGCCTTGTGGGCGTCTTGTCTTCTTAGACTTGAAAAAAAAATGGGGTGGGCTATGATGCAAAAGTGCGCCGCACGACATCGAACCCTCTTTTTTTTTCATTGGTATTTTTTTCTAGTATTTTTTTTTATATTTTTTTATCTTTTTTCATTTTCTATTGCTCCTCGACTTTAATCTTTAGAATTCGCTTGGACCATCTCCTTTTAACCCACCATCTCCCCTTAAAAAGTTGTCTTGCTTTCCTAGTTGTTTTCAATTCTGATTGTTAATGTTGTACCTCTATTTTGAAATTGGGTCGTGCACTCACTGATCATCAGCAAAGACCCGATAGGGAGGATCCGCAACTTCTCCAGCATTGCCTTTTCCGCGTCCATGCTACCATTGATGCCGCAATTCAGCCCATAACTGGCTCGGATCCAGTCTATTAGCCCCTCCCATGATTACTACTATCTTTCCTTTTTAAGCCGATTTCTGCCCGGTTCATCCACTGTGCGTGCCTGTGGCTAAGACCTTGGAGGCTTCGTATTGGTTAATTCGCAGGGGCAAAGTGAACACTGGAGAGACCCCCAAAGGAAAAGCAACTCTGCGAGTGTAGAGGGCAAGGAAATTGCACGTGGGACAGTCGAGTGCGTCGACTATCTAGCAGGCAGCCCTCGAGGGACAGAAACACCCAAAGGCCAGGAAGCAAAATAGAACAGAGGCAGAGAACACCAGGCCAGGAGAAAAAGAGTCACGGTGACAGTGAGAGTTACGGAAACAAAAAGCCACAATAAAGGAAGAGGACGACGAAAGGACAGGCGCCTGACGTCCTGGTCGTTCTGTGCCCCTCTCTGGTCTCAGGTCTCATCAGCATCGCCGTCATTCTGTGCCGCGCCTGGATTCGTCTCCAGTACTTTTACTATCAACCTCACCCCTCCTTCCGGATACCCCTCGGGCTGTTTGGCGGGGCTCATCTCCTTCTACTGCGGGCCTCTCTGCTCTGCTCGGTCTCTGTCTTGCCACGCAGACTTTCGTTACCCTAAAGCAAACGGAACCCCCCAGAAAGTTGTTGTCCTTCCCAGCAGATGCATCTTCCCTAAACCCTCCTCTTCTTGTACTACCATCCCTCCCCAGCTGCAAGTGCATGTAAAGAAAAACCCTGTTTTCCCCTCCCCAATATGTCTCGTCGCCGTGCTTCCCATAGCGAACCAATGGGCTTATCATCCGCGATGAACGAGGCGTTTGCCTATCCATTCTCTGGAACGCAACAGAACAATGCTCCACCACGACGGGGTCCGATCGAGGGACCCAACGGACGAAGGTTGATTCGTAGAGTCACCTGGCGATCCTCCACATACAAATTGATGGCTTGTCTGTGGGTGTTGGGCGTCTTCTATATTGTCTGGCTCATCCGAGACATCTTCTATTTGCCTTTCACCCCTTCGCAGAAGGGCCCCATTCGCCATGAATCTCAAACCGAGTAAGTTCGGGCCCTGCCGTCCCTAAACCTTTGCCTCCCGCGAGTCAGTCAGTGGCCAGAGTTACTGATTCAGCCCGCTTTGATACATAGTTTACTGGCTCATTATGTGGGCCGACGTGAGTGCGGCATCTCTTCATTGTCCCTCTACAACACCCCGTCAACTGGCGATGGACGAGCATCCAACCCAGCGTACTGCTCAACCCGAGATGAACTGCTAAGTGCCATGAGCCATGGTGGTCGTCATGGGTTCGATGCTGCGTACACCTCCCAAGGCAAGTGACAAGATTTACTGTGGCCCCGCTGTCGGGCACCTTGCCGAGAAATCCGCTCAGACAGCAACCAACCCTTCGTGACCCTCCGGCTGACTCGCCGTCCAGATTGTGCCTATCGTTGGTACTCCAGCTCTGAAGTGTGTGAAATCCTGCAGAGATTCGATGGGATTGTCTTTGTGGGGGATGATGCCCTAGCCGACGCCTATGCGGGGTTCAACATCCTTCTGCGGCAGAATCTCGCGACCGGCTCTCTTAGAGACTGGGAAATGGACAAGGACTTGAGCAGGAGATGTCGATGCGAGTCCCAATTCACCCAAGCAGCGTGTCTACCCCTGCGTATTACCTCGAGTGACCAAGTTGATGCACAAAGCGGTAGCCCCGCCTTGCGGGCCCCATACTCGTGTCCCTCTCGTGAGTGACCCGGTGGTTATATCATGCCAAAGCTCTCTTTAAGGGTTGGAAATTGACCTCTAGATTGAATAAAGGTGCATCTCATGCTTTCCTCTTCACTGATGGTTCCACGGCCTCCAAGAGTGCCCGCGACCACTTCCGCCGCCTAACAGGAAGAGCCGCGGACCGAAGCAAGCCCGTCCCCGTGATCTTGAGCCTCTCGCTTTCGACATCATACTCTCTACCGGCAGCCCAAAAGAGCATGGACGAATGGCTGTCCATGGCCAAGGCGACCAAACAAAACACCCCTTTCCTTTGGCTCGGTCCCACCGCCCCTGGCCTCCGGAAGGACGCTAGGGACAACATCCACGCTTCCA